CTAAAGAAAAAATTGACTCTTGTTCTTCTAAAGCAAGTAAAATTAAAAATAAGTTTAGTTTTGTACTCGATAAAAATTCGGGTTTTAAGCAATTAATTAACATAAACAGCATTTTAGAAGGGCATATAACGAAGAAAATCCAGAAATTCGGCTTAATTTTTTGCCATATTTTAAATATGCACCTGTGACTTCTTGCGAAGTGGAAATAACGTTTTCTGTTTACAAACATTTTTTATCAGGTAGACGAATGTTAATATGGATAATTTAGAAAAACATTTAGTTTTATATTGTTATAGTATGTCTGAAGATAACGTTCGTTAGTTTTTTCTGTAAGTTATGCTATTGTAATTTAAACAAACACAAGTGTTAACAAAATTTCTTTGTGTTTTATTTAAAATTTGAATGCATATAAATGCATATAATAATGCATATTTTGACGATTTTTAAAGCATATTTGCATGCATATATTTGCTATTTTAGTGCATATATTCCGAACTCTCATTATGACAGTAGTTGCCAAAAGTTACGTATACGTTTTTGCAAACACTAAGTAATAATTTATTCGTTTTTCATTGATACTTTTTGTTTTAAACCAAGTATTTTCTAAAGTCACTAGTATTGTATCATCAGCGTATACAGTATTTAATTCATTGTTCATAATCAATAAAAAATCATTCACGTATAATATATACAGGAAAGGTTCTGGAATTGTGCCCTACGTGTGACTGTTCCTTAACTATTTTCTTCGTCTTTAATTTAATACCGCGCACCTGAACGCAGATGTAGTATACGTATATCTAATACGGTATTATATAAAATTAGAGTGGAACTGCCAAAACAACACTTTAAAAGTAGTATAACTTCAGAATATGCACCACAGCACCACATGGACTCACAACAGAAAGTGCCGTTGCTCATGTAGAGCAGAGCGGTCTACGTCTTCAAGTGTCTGAGTGACCTACCTGATGTGTAAAACAGAAATCAAAAACAATATGATTATTGCAAAGTAAACATTTAAGTTGTTTTAAATATCAAACGATATTAATCAACATTCGCAGAACATCGTCACGAATACAAACGTAGTTTTAATGAAAATTTGGGAAAGAAAGGACTACAAAATGTAGAAATATTAGAATTAAACAAATTAAAGGTATTATTTTAGATGAAATAGAGGTATATACACATTATATAGTAAATATATATCCACAACGGCATATTATCCCTGCTTAACTTATGGGAATTAGAATCAATTTATCACCATTTAATAAAGTAAAATAAACATTCAGAATCCAGCACTATTTAATTTATTATTAATATGAATATGTCATGTCTTTATCCTATTAGTATTTTAAAGATATTGTTTATTATCAAATATTTAAGCTTCTTTTTAGATACTTAGCCGTATACATATATCTTCTACCACTTTTAAGTTTTCTGCTAAAGGTTAAAAATCTTATTAGCATTATCCGAGCTGCATTTGCTGCTAACTCTTTACATTTAAGTAAGTTCAATGCATTTATTTCTAGTATTACTCATGCAGATTTTGTACATTTCACCTATTTTTAAAAACAACTTTTAACAGCTTGTTCTAAGATTTTGTAATAAACTAACATATTATTGTATTCTCCACCCCAAGTCATATTGACATTTACCTATAATAGAATGAAACAAGGCATAATGAATTATTTTTAGCATATCCTATAACATATCATTTANGATAGGTTGTCCTATAATAAAGATAACACAATATGCTATTAATAATATTTAATAAATGATGAATTTTATTAGTTTACGTATATTTTATTTCCAGGAATATGCAGACCTAAATTGTAATATAAGGAAAGGAGTAGCTAATGGAGTTCTCTACGTAGCAGTAAACTTCGCTGGAATGTATACAAAATATTTAACTGATCGTAGTCAAAGAAAGGCATTTCTTGAAACACACCGCTCAATGAAAACGCGATATCAAACCCAATATGAAAATGAAAAACAAGAGAAACTTCTTTTGTCAGGTATGAAGTAGTGTCAAATAATTAATTTTTATAAGAAACCATTTATAGAGAACCTTTCCCAGGCCCTGAGATAGGAGATATATTAAAGAAGGAAGATAGTGTTATCTCATAGTGAGAGAAGAGTTCGATGTAGCATTAAAAAATTTAAAGAATAATAAGGCGCCAGGGGTAGATGGGATACAGGGGGAAATTCTGAAACATGCAGGACAAGAGGTTAGAGATCGTATGTTTAAACTAGTTGGTCACATTTACGAGACAGGGAAAGTTCCAGAGGATTATAAACGGAACGTGGTAGTAACCATACCTAAAAAGACACGGGAGAATAGGTGTCATACATTTAGAACAAGAAAAAAGGGCGGAAGAACTATTAGGAGAAGATCAATTTGAGTTTAAGAGAAATAGAGGAACGCGGGAGGCTATTCTATATAGATTTACGTGTAACAATAGAGAAAACGATAGAAAAGGAAAGGATGCGTACATAGGATTTGTAGATTTAGAAAAAGCTTTTGACAATGTTAAATGGGACATGTTAAATTTACTTAAAAATGTAAGGGTGGGTTACAAAGATAGAAGAGTGGTACTTAGTTTGTATAAAGGGCAACAGGCAGTTATAGAGCTAGGGCTGCAACTTAGAGAAGTAAATATTAGGAAGGGAATCAGACAAGGATGCACACTGTTACTGCTACTTTTTAATTTATATATCGAAACACGATCAACATCATTAAAGACAGTACAAGTGTGGGGATATATATACAGGGGCAAAAGATTAGTATGCTTAGATTTGCAGATGATATAGCAGTATTAACATCTAGCAAGGAGAACTTAGAGACAGCTTAAAATAAAATGGAAGCGGTACTGACGAAACAGTATTGTATGAAAATAAATAAAAGTAAAACTAAACTACTGGTAGTGGTATGCAAGGGAAGAGAAAGTAGGGAAAGAGCGAAAATAAAGATAGGAGACGAAAAATTAGAAGAAGTGACTGATTTTAGATATCTAGGAAGTCAGATAAGTCAGATATAAAGCAGAGGATAGCGCAGAGTCGTGTCGCCTTTAATAAAAAGAAGTCACTTCTATGCTCGCGAACGGTTGTTAATATCCAGCAAAAAATCCGAAGCAAATTCGTAATAACATTAACTCACTGAGATATAAGTTAGCCAATCAGAAACTGAAAATGGTATACATTGTAATCAACATTAGAAAAATACGAATATTTTATATAAAAGAAATTTTGAGTGCTGAGCACAGTTCAAATTCCAACTCTACCTTTCTATACCCAATGATAGAAACTATGTTTTAAATAACAGGTTCCTGTAATTCAAAGATTCTGTTGCGTGACAACGCCTGATAGAGGGGAAAACTTGTTATTGTAAAAGAAATATGACAGTGAAAATACGGAAAATCTGGTTGTTCGAGGGAGATATGTCATTGTTTTTAAACACAACTGAAATGCTGCGATTCATGCAGTTGTAAACATAAGTTATTAACTTTAAGTTAACACCTCTTCCGCTATACAATTAATAATACTAATCTTAATAAAACTTATTGGCCTAAAGTATACACACTTACGAAAAATCCAGTCTATTTGCAAAACTGGAACTGGATGATGATGTCAGATAACGTGTTAGTATGGTCTGCGTCTGAGGTCAATAGTCAAAAAAAGGTGAGTCTGTTTGCGGAACTAATTTATTCGAAACAGTATTTATATTTACATGGGCTAAATGTAAAACGTTTATCTAACAATTTAGTTTGATGGTTAACCTAGTTTTATCAATCAACAGCGACGAATGCCGACACGTAGACAACGTCCTGAGCAGATTGTTTTTGTTGACTTTACGCCGTCGTTGATTTGTTGCAGGCATAGGTGAGGATTGTCCCTCTAATATGATATATGTTGATTTGAGTCATTGAAAAGATACGGTTTTCTCTTTTGTTGGGCAGTTGGACGGTGAACGTGTAGTTTTTCCTGCTGATTACTTTAAAAAGGCTGTCGTAAGAGAATTGTAACGAGTTTTTAGGACCATCACGTCAAATTAGAACTTACTACTTACCTTGCTGTTTAGAGATCCTTGTAGATGAATATTTTCTTTTCCCTATGTCGTGTTCCGGATACAGACTGTAGTAGTTATACCATGCCACCGACTGTTGCTTTTAGATCTTTCTTCCGGGCTGCTCGGGTGCCTAATAGTACAGTGGGAAGAATCCAGCTGTTGTTTTGATGACATGTTATTGCAGTCTTCAACTGTTAATGAAATCGTTCGACCATTCCACTTACTGCAAGGTGGTATGCCGTAACATTTTGACATGGAATACGGAATACAAAGACGTGCCCATTTGGAGCAAATACAGTTGGCTAATGGTCAAATGAAACGGTGCGTGATTAGTTTGATAGATGAACGAATATCAGGGTTCGTTAGTGGTGCGCAATATATTAATACGTCTTAATACTAGAGACTTGTTAGATTTGAAACATGATTGAAGTTCTCTATCTGACTCTTGTCAGAGAAGAATGCTAAAGACTCCCAGTTTCCATCGTGGTTTTGTTGCAACAGTAGAGAACCAAACGGGCTCCCATATCTGGGTCATAGTTCCAATATATGGGCCATGGCCTGTCCATCATACATCTTACCAATTTTGGACCTATGTTGTTTTAACTTACCTCTAGTAGAGTGTATTTGTTTATAACAAGGTTTGAAACCAAATTAAGTAACTCTAAAAAGAAAATAATTATTTAACAGACAAAGTCACTTGAGCAAACATCTTACCTTCAGCACTCATGATGAAATAAAATATCTAACGACAACCAACTTGTCGCTGATTTAGGGATCTAGGAAGTCAGATAAGTCAGGACGGAAGGAGTAGTATGGATATAAAGCTGAGGATAGCGCAGGGTCGAGTCGCCTTTAATAAAAAGAAGTCACTTCTATGCTCGCGAACGGTTAATTTACAAATTCGAAAAAGGTTGTTAAAGGTGTATGTTTAGAACACGGCGGTGTACGGGTGCGAAAAATGAATAGTGAGCACGGCGGAAAAGAAAAAGTTAGAAGCGTTCGAAATGTAGGAGAATGGAGAACTCTATGGTGGTCAGTAAGAAATAGGCGAGATAGGTTAGTAGGATACCTTCTCAGGCATGAAGGTCTAGTCAGACATATTAGAGGCAGAAACGGAAGTTAGGAGACCTAGATTAGATTACTGTTCGCAGATATGGGATGTTTTAGGGAAATGTGAATATTAGCTCAGGATAGGAAAGAGTGGAGGTATGTGCCCAACCAGTCTTAGGACTGACGACCTTATGATAATGATGATGAACCAACTTTTCTTTTCAAGCAGAAAGAAAAATGCAATTTAAAGAAATAGGACACAATCATAAACCTGGATATGTGATCGTTTTTACGCATATTTCATAAAATGTAGTACCTGATATAGTGTGTACATGTTTCGAATTAATGCAGTTGTGAATAAACCATAAGTAAATCAGCAAGAGAATTATTTCTTTGACTAAATAGTCTGTTTCGTTTATGAGTAAAATGCTGATGAAGCGAGATAAACCATTGATACCGGTATTTTATCAGAAACTTTATTTCCAAAGTCTCTGTTGGAGGGAAAATTTAAATTTAAACCAGCCTAGCTTTGTCCAAGCTCCATTTTTTCAATATTCTAGCGACGTCTGTTGAAAAAACTCAATAGACAATACAAATAATAGCTGCAAATTACACGCACAGTTTTACAGGAAACTACTTTTCGGTATTCTAGCGACATCCCCTTTCACAAAATTCAATAAGCAATGACTTTAAGCGAGAAATTAAAATTCAAATAGGCTCCACCCCCAGTTTACGACAATTCTAGAAGGTCTTCAACAAAAGCTTCTGGTATTGTTGACAACAGGGGCGTGGTCTAACCTCTTCAGCTGAAGAATGACCTAGAAGGACCTTCTAAAGGTCCAAAATTGGTAAAATGATATCTATGACCCAAATATGAGAGCCATAACTCTGATATGGGAGCCCGTTATGTTCTCTATTTGTAATGCAGCGTCCAAACAATGGTCGGAAGCGTCACAAAATATAATTAATGTTACGTTAGATTGAGGACGGTATAGGAGACTAGTTTGAGTAAGTTATTTCTTACTCAATTTGAATGCTTGGGGTGCTTGAAGTGGTCGTTGGGAAGCAGTAATGACGAAAATTGCTTGAGTAGGTTGCCTTACCTGTATGTGGCGGATTTGTTATCCGTAATTGTTATTGAGGCTTGACTGCAACCAGTTACCTTGCCAGGGCTGATAAGCTCGGTGAACTGATCCAGGAGACATTGGTTGCTCAAATCTATAAGCCAAGATAGGTTGATTCGTAGGTCGGAACGATGGTGCTATTCGCTACTTGTGACGTGAATGGTTATTTCTGATTTGGCCCAGGTATTACAGACTTGGGATACACATAGTTGTCAGTACCTGTGTCAACCAGAAACTGTAGGCGTGTAACTCGGCCCGTAACAAAAAGGCTACGTTTTGGGAGGCGGAGGTAATATGTCCGAAATATTCGACGGATTCTCGAAGAGTCTTTCAGATACACACTTCGAATGTTCCGGACAATACTAGAATGTCATCTAAGTAATCAAAACCTAACTGATCACTTAAGGTAAGACGAAAACGATCCGTTATTTTCATGAAGGTTGCGGGAGCGTTTGGCTACTCGAAGGGCATTCCAACCGGAACGTACTAAAAGATGTCGTAAAACAAGTTTGATCAAGGTCTTCAAGGGCAAACGGCAGACCAGAGATCAATCGTGGACATAAAAGAAGTGGGCGTTGTACTTGTACCTACTCATCTAACCCTCTGCAAAAGACGGTGAAAGTAACATAATTGGGCGATCGATAGTCAACAAATAGTCGAAGTGGGTTGTCCTTCTTGGGGATTAAAATAATCATATTTGTGCATGGGGATTCGAATTCTTCAATTATGCCTAAACTCAATAATCAATCCAGTTTTTGTCAAAGAAATGGAAACTAATAGGATATGGATGTGTTGCAATAGGAAGGTGACGCTCCGCTAGGAGTGGGATCTCCCACTTGCTTAAATAATCAGCATTCTCAGTTAATAACTGATCGACTAATTTTCTTCGTCAGGTTGGAGAGTCCGTTCCTTCCGGTTCATCAACGAATTGGAAATGTATTTGAGGGTCATCATAAAAGTAATGAGAGAAATACTCAAAACGATTCCTGCTGATTCAATAAAATCACACCTCAATAAAGTATTATTCTCCAACGAATGAAGTAATACGGTCAGTCCTAGTGGAATTCACTTACCACCTATTTCGATGTCGACCTTTAACGTCGAAATGTTCACAGCATGACGCTTATCATCAGCAACAGAGATGTCAAATTCGTAACCCAAATTCTGCAAAACTCTATACAACCTTATAATACTAGCCTATGCATTAGAATCTACGTAACCTGCACCATGAAATCTATCACCGATAAACGGTAGCAGTCTTGTTTTCGTCTCATAGAAATCAAACAATTGCTTCGAATAAAAAGGTCGTTTATATAAAAAGGGTTCTGAAAATTGTGCATTATAGTGATGTCTTCCATACATAGATGATCTTCGCATACATTCATAATTTTATTTATTTTCTTCTTCGTCGTCTTCATTTTAGGCGAATAAAATTTTTCTCTAAGGTAATTGTAGGTTTCTATTATACAGTTATGGTTTTAATTATGATATTCGATCTTGTTCATTCGGTTTTTTTTATTCTTTAAAATATTTTATTTTTTCGTTAAACAGACTTGAGCAAAATAAAAATTTATATTAGATATTTTTTTAGTTAAATGTATATTCATTGATTGAACGGTGGAGGTTTTTGATTGAAATGAGTAGCAAAAGCAGATTGAAGGGTACTCCTGTTGTACATTGGTATAATAGGTTTTGTAGGTGAAACTAATTTTGAACAATTCCTCATAAAATTGATTTAAGCTTTTTCGTTATCAAATTTACGTCATTCATATAATGCCTGATCTAGAGTAGTAATATTAAGGATCATTAAATGAGTAGGTACAACAGGGTTTGAAAATTCCAGCTTTAAAAGTGCCTAAAGGTTGACAAGAACACATTTGCACTTTACCAATCAAAATATCTCTGTTGTATGTTCTAATATTAATGTGCTCTAAAAGTATTTGCAGTTTTCTTTTTATTGGTTCAAAATATATCATATAGTTTTTAGAATAAAGTAAGTAGTTAAGTCATGTAACAATAATTCATCGAGGCGCGGGTCACCAAAATGATGAAGCAGGGAGTCTTTTGATCCGAGGCACAGTCAATATATTCACCAATCAACACAAACCTCTTCTCCTATTAATTTTGATTTAACCTACTCAATAAGTAAGCTATTGAATAAACAACACTCTTCAGGGTCATCTTAAATATTCTTACGCGACAATACATAATAACAAGGTATAAAGTGACTACTTTTTTATCAGCGTTGTAAGATTTTTAACTTCCTACTATTACAATAAACACAGTTAGGCTTTCATCTGAATAATGCTTGAGACTCGGGCTTGACAGCCGTGCTCTAGGATTATTTCTCCGTCGGTTAGAACACCGATGGAGTAATTTATTCAAATTTACACTTTCGCTACGTTCCCTGGAGATGCTAACGTAGAAACTTCGGACAAAAGACTCCATCGGTATTCTCATCGAAGGAGAAACAATCCTAAACCACAGTAACCAAGTGGGCACTATACTAGTATATTTCTAAACAGTAGCTCTTTAGACTTTTTAAACGATAGTTGACCTATTTTTCTTTATTTTTAGTTCTGCCTAACTTTGTGGCGAGAGAAATGATTCGTGACATTGCAAAGGAGGAAGAAAGAAGAGGTACTTTCGAACCGCATCAATTTCATAAGATATACATTCACAGATACGAAAATGTTAGCATTTTGTTTGCCGATATAAGGGGATTTACAGGTAAAGAAGTACGGCTCAATTGAAATATAATTACAAAAATTATTTACATATATGGTATATTTAAAAATTGGGAAATACCTTTAACACAGGCACGTGGTCAGATATTTATTTTTTGTGGGAGGGAGTATACATAAAAATTTTATAATATAAGAAAAAATGTCAGATTGTAATTTTTTGTGTGTTTTATTGAAAGGAACTTAATACATTATATTGAGTCAAGTTAAATTTAAGGTATTTTTAGTTCTCACAATTTGCGCATAGGTATGAGGTCCAGTCGCGATAGAGAAGTTTTTAATAAAGTATTCTCGTCTAATAGCAGGAATCTGAACTCCCAAAGGATAATATATAGCCAATAGCCACAAAACCTTTTGCAAGAAGAAAGGATTTATTACTCGGTTTATCCGCATTGTAAGGAGGTTGTTTGTGTTGAAATTGTAGACCTTAGTAACATGTACCAGTTGTAAAATTTTTATTAAAAAATATTTGTACGTTTTCGATAAAATCACTGAAATGTGAAAAAAAAAAACATTAATTCACTAATGCATTGAATTTAACTTTACACAAGTGCTGTGTTAAAATGGCTGCCAAATCAAGTTACAACAAACATTCAAATCGTTTTGTGTTTATGAAGAATTCCTCTACAAACTCATTACAATCGGAAATACAAAACAATTACCAAACCCTTTAAAAATTCCCCTGAAAACCGAATATTATCCCGGGCGATTGGATGAGCAAGCGGCGGGTAACCGTCAGAGACACCAAAAAACCCCAACAGCCTGCAATTCTCCCACCATATAGGCCATTCCCCGCTACTTGCTAAGTATGTCAAGTAAATACTCATTCAACCTGCTTATTGTTCAATCTTTACAATATTTATTGAACATTTTCAGCAGTATTACGAGAAATGTCTGTTGGATCATGTTATCTGTTTATTATTCGTTTAAAACAATTGTTGAAAGTTGAAATACATATTCTATTATCATAATTTGAAGATGCTCTATTATTGTATTGTTACATGTATATAGTGTGAGAAGATGTTTGAATACGTGACATTTGGTGTGAGAAGTAGGGTTGAAAAAGACTGAAGAAAAAAGAGATTTTTGAAAAATCCCACCGGCCAATTTTCTGGAAGTTTCCATCGGCTTCCATCATTGGAACTACAGCAAATCCTTAGATTAGCACGTCACAAGACTCCAAGTGAAGCACTGTCGCACTCTTCAGAGCTTTAAGCAGCGAAACATGCTTCCAAACATCATATACGGATGCGAAAAACAGAAATTGATGATGGTAAGCGACAATGACAAAGGTGTCATGTCGCTCATCAGGGAATACGTAATATATGTAAAAAACCCATTGGAACCCAAAGTGTTGGAAATGTGAAAGAATTGGTCATTTTGCTAGTAGCTGCAACAACTACCGTGGTCGTCCAAATGCTGGAATTGTAGAAGAATAGGTTATCTAAATCGAAATTACCCCTCAAAAGAACGAAATCCAAAATGTTGGAAATGTGGAAAGACTGGTTATTATGCTCTAACCTGAAAGAATTACACTGTTCGTCTAAAGTGCTCCAATTGTGAATGAATTGGTCACTTAAGTCAAGATTGTCCCTCAAACAACACACGGTCTTTCGACGAAGATGGATAACAGTCGGAACCACAGATATAACGAGGATTTCAGCGACTGCGCGAATGCAACTTCGATATCGGACATCGCTGAAGCAAACAACACGGCAACGGAGGTGCGCCTTCCCGGAGAAAACTGCAAACATAGTTCATCTGCGGAGAATAAGGAAGAGCTGGATTCAAATTTATTGCAACCTAACCACTGTTCAGTCTGAGGGATCCCAGGAAGATAAGGCATTAATCGAAGACCAGAGAAAGTACGGAGATGTTGGCCCAATAATGAGATGGAAAGAAGCCGGAACACCCAGACCATCGTGGACAGCAAACAACGAAAATATTTTTTGGGCACAGTGGACTTTCCTTTACTTAGACCATGGCAAGGTGGAACTAGAAGCAATCAGAAGTCTTAGAAGCAGTCCATGGCGAAGGACATTTCGGCCTTACGAAGACTCTATGGAAGGTACGCGAGCGGTTTTATTGGTCACGAAGTAGAAGCGACGTGAGAGACTGGTACAGGAAATGTCCAACATGCACCGTCAGTAAGGGCCCAAAGACAAGCATTCGTGGACGAATGCAGCAGTACAACGTAGAAGCGCCATTGGAGAAAATCTCAGTAGACGTTGCAGCACCACTCCCAGTGACGGACTTCGGTAACCCGTACATCTTGGTAGTCATGGATTACTTTAGCAAGTGACCCGAAGCATATGCGATAGCGAACCAGGAAGCACATACCGTTGTTGAGAAGCTTGTCAATGAATGTATTAGTCGACATGGAGTACCACTAGAATTGCATTCTGACCAAGACAGGAACTTCGAATCGATTTTATTCAAGAACGTCACTGAACTAATGGTAATTACTAAAATGAGGACTACGCCATTACATCCACAATCTAATGGAACGGTTTAACGCTACTCTGGAGACCAATTTAAGAAGCATCGTCAACGAACACCAAACTGACTGGGACCGACACATACAACTATTACTCTTGGTTTATAGATCCATCATCCACGAGACAACTGGAAGAACACCAGCCAAAATTTTAATCGGGAAAGAACTCAGATTGTCAGCGGATATGATGTTTGGTCATCCTGGGGACTCGCGAGTTCCTACAGATGAATGCGCGGGCGAACTACGAGAACAATTAGAAGCCACCCATAATGCTATGCATACGAAACTGCGATTCGAAAGTGACCCCCATAAAGACCAGATATAATTGACGAGTCATTTATACCCGGTTTAATGAAGGCGGCAAAGTGTGGATATGAAATCTATTAAGGTGGAGAGGACGTTGCCCGAAACTACAGCAAACTTGTGATGGTCCGTATACCGTTACTCGACGCATCAACGACGTTGTTTACCGGATTCAGAACGGTAAAAATGAAGATCTTGACCGGCCTGCTCCCTACAGAGTCAACATCACTAATTGGGACGATCAGTTTTAAGAGGGAAGCAATGTCACATGTATGTTTGTAGGCAACCCAACATATATAGCGGCAAAGAAGACCGGAATTATAGACGATATGTACTGGAGAATTCTAGAAATCGTGAAGCTTCTGTAAATATTTCGAGGCGATACGAAGCGAAGAAGAAAGCGCCAGGAAGTGATAAAGTTTTTATATAGAAGTGTTATTTAGATAGTAAATTGTTAAATAAAAGTAAAAGCAGTGTGAAAAGGAGTTTGATTACGTGGCAGTATTATTAGGCACTNTAATAGTTCAATACTTTTGTCTATATTGGTATGACCTATTGCCTTGAAGAAGTCCATGATGTCTGCTAGTAATAATATGAAGAGGAGTGCGCTTAGTGGGTCACTTTGTAATACGCCTTCCATTAATTCTATTTCTTTTGTTTTGCATTCTGATGTTGTTTTTTCCATTATAAGCTACCTCAATTTATTAAAAAAAAATTTTGCTGCTGCTGTCACACCCTTGACCTAATATTTAATATTAAGCCTTGGTAATTTCAATATATTAAAATTAACCGAACAAACGAGTGAATTTTAAACACCTAGAAATTTCCCCATTTTTCTTGAAATAGTCTTTCCGTATCGTAAGAAACTTTTCTGACATGACATACACTGACCATTAGTATTCAGTATATCAGTTTGTAATTGGTAGGGATTTGTTTTGCGAAATTGAGTTCCACGTCTGACGGTTTCAACAGAATATTGACCACCATGAATTTTTTGTACTTGTTTTGTTAATAAACACAGTGTCGAACTGCTCTAAAAAGACATTCAGTAGACCTTAATTACTCTATTATCACATTATCAGCGATTCCGCTAATTTTTGGTTTCGTATCTATTTCGTTTTATATAGATATCTAATGAATTTGTCTGTGTAATGAAGTAGCTACATANCAATGTATCGTCGATTCAGGGTAATGGGTAGCTATCCTTCAGCGTTACGTCATTCAACTTCTTGTAGTCCATACAAAATCTCGTAGATCCATTCTTCTTGCATTCTAACACTGTAGGGGAAGCCCAAGAACTTTGAGATCGTTTTATGACCCCTTGCTTATGAATGTCTTTTATGAGATTATTGACTTCCTCTTGATCCGCCCAAGGAACTCTTCTAGGTGGTTATTTGATGGGTCTTGCTGTTCCAGTGTTGATGCGATGGTATGTTAAGTTAAGTTAAAGTCTTGAAATGCCTGGACGAGGACGTGTTGAAAACGGCCCAAAAGTTCTTCCAATTGTTTGACTTGGTGGTTGTTGAGATGCTTACTTGACCGCCTCACAAGTTCTGATTAAAATGCCTCTAAATTAAGGCGGAATACCATGTATGTATCGTTATGTCCCGTCTGTACAAATCTGAGAAACTTCCTACTGATTCTCAGCCTGCAGTTATGACGTCACGCAAAGCAAATTGCAAGCTTGTAGATTCACAATTGCCTTTATTGTAGATAAAAACGTAAAGAAAACTCCTTTTGGCAACTTTATGCGGTTGTTTCATCATATTTCCACTATTTTTCATTTAGTTATTACGTCGGGAAAGTGGACAGAAATATCTTTTTAAAAATTGAACAGTTTTATGCTATGACGATTGTACCAATAGTTAAGAAGTGTAAACAGCTGCATATTTTTCCGATTGCAAGTTTTTCTAAACCTTTAAACGTCTTCGTTTACTTGTATTTCCAAAATTAGCAAATACAGCCGAAGGCTAGCAAAAACTTTTTTTTTTGGCAAGGCTAACGTTTGAAACGCTCATTTTATTTATTCAGTCTTTTCAATGAATAAATTTTCTTCTAGATCACAAAAACTATACTTATTGTTAGTTTATTGATTGTAATTTTGTATCCGGAATAATTTACTGTGGTTGATTGAATTACTCTTTTATAAACATTGCGCCATTTTTCGCTATAGACATATCCACTAACGATCACTTTTGACTTAACTATGTCACCACTGAAAATTTTGCCAACATAGGACGGTAAGAACAGAAAATTAAATTAACTGCAGCAGAAAATGATTATAACCAATCTACCTAATCATAAACGTCTCAAAATCACAGCTATCTTATTGAATAATTCTTCTTTCTAAATACTTAAATCATCTTACGCTATCCGACAAAAATCTCCCATCTTTTATTCAGCTTCAATTATCTTCGCTTTTTTAATTTCAGCCTATGGGCCCGAACCTCCCCGTTTAGATACGTGCCTGTTTTAATGCTTTTAGAATACGTAATAATCTATTATTTTAATTTACAGAATTAGCCAGCAAATGTTCAGCCCAAGAATTGGTTAAGATTTTAAATGAGTTATTTGCACGTTTTGACAAATTAGCTTCTGTAAGTACACAACTTCCTTTTTGTTAAAATACAAGGTTATTTTCAAGTTATTTTATGTATTTCTAAAATAAGTATGTACTGTAGTCAATAGTTATAAAGGCTATCACTATCTTAAGCAGCTGTTACTATTTCACAATGTTTGACTACGTCATACAACGGAACATTTACTAAATCGAAAGTAAATTCAAGTTGTTACTACGTATTAACAATATTAATATTACCGGAACAACCATAATTAAAAGTACGTTTGTTCCTAGATCAGTTGTTCACTTAATTTATTCAATTATTCCATTATGCAGTTAACGATTTTCTTAAATCATCTGAAAGAAAAACGCAGCAACTTCTTCAGCTTGCTAATCTTTTCAGATATTTAATATTTGTCTAACTATCTTCAAAACGTAGAATGTTTTTATTATATCAATACTTACGATCACTTCCCTTTTTACATGAACATTTTGTCTCCCTTTCAATAACTTCATATGGACCGGAACACGGTAGTTCTAAGGATCTTCAGATGTGACCATTCCTGACAAAAACGTGCGTGCAATTTTTGTTTATCCATTATTTGAATAAAAAGAAAGTGTCAATGAGTCATTGCTTTCATTAATTTTTTTTTAAAAAAGCTGTTAATCTAAATCCGTGCGAGTATAAAGATTTTTGTTGTTCCAGAGTAGAATCTCATCTCTCTTCGTATAAAAAATTTAACAATCATTTAGTTGTTTTTTGTTTATGACTTCTCGAGCGCAGTTGTGCAAGTGCTTTATTTTGATATAATCGAAAATTAAAATAGATATAAATCAAACCTCGTTGTGCTCTTCGGCGTAAAATACCCTACATTCTGGGAAAAACAGTGGCAGAGAAAATGAGTGGGTCATTTTCCGATGCGTGAATAAAACAAAACCCTATCCGGTATAGAATATGGCCCCGCCACAATTTGTATCACTGCTTTTCCCAAAATATTTTTTTTTATAATGATTA